CTCTCTCTCTCTCTCTCTCTCTCTCTCTCTCTCTCTCTCTCTCTCTCTCTCTCTGCTGGCCTCTGGTCTCTCCATCACAGCCTGGCCCTCAGGATGCTTTGCCACCAGCTCTGTCTGTCCAGCTGTCCCTGCAAACATAAAGAAGAGCGTATCAACAAGAAAACCCTACCATTGGCTCAGAGTTACAGTGTACAAGGCGATGGACACATGAAGACATTAGCTTTAGAGCTGGAGAGGAACTTAAAGATTGTAGGGTTGACTTGTCATCCCCTTTGCTTCCTATGTGTGTGGTGGGAATCATCCTATAACCTCTCCTTTGCTGGGAAAGAGGAGCAGAGTGTGAAAGTCTAGGCTTTTCGGGGGGAATCCAGGTTTAGCCACAGATATGTCTCAGGTAGTGTAGACATGGAACTAAAGTATTCCAAGGAGCAGGTGTGAGGGAACATGTAAAGAGCCAGGCTGACTTAAAAACAGTCTGATCTGAGGGAGCAGGTAGGATCAATGATGAATAAGAAGACCGCTATTCAGGGTGCCAATATGCTCATATTTGATAGTCACTAGAAGGACTCACAGAACCGAGGTCCATGGTTACAGCTTACAGGGGGATATTCTTGAGAGGCAGATGCCCAGACAGAGGCCAGAACTTTCACCTGTCTTCTAGCCATCTCCTCTGGACAGAGTAGACAGATCTGTGCGAATGACACTCAGCAGCGGTTATGACACTGATTCCCTACACAGAAGCTTGTGGAAGCCTTAATTTCTAAATTGTATTTAGCTGGTTCTGTAGGGGTGGGGATTACCTCTCAAGAATCAAGCAAGGGTTAAACCTTGCCTTCTGAGGAGAGACATTCAAAATCAGAGCTAAGACATATCAAAGATCAGACTCTGGGGGACATAGCGGTATAGGCTTGCCTGGGAAGAAACCATCCTCCTCTGTAACACTGTTTACTAAGGGGCAGGTAGGAGAGAAACCAACATCAAATGGTGAAAAGACAGTCTAGTAATTTCTCCAACAGGGGGTTGGTCTAAGTCTGTGAAGAAGAGTGTCTGCATATACCCTCAGGGAGGGCATGGGACTCGGATAACATCCCATAGGCCCAGGAGTCTGCTGTTTTTGTGGAACACAAAGCTTAGTAGGATTTAGAGTCAGGAAGCCTGGGTTGAAGCTTAATCTCTACTGCTTGCAGCTTTCTCATCTGTAGGTAAATGTTTGTGTCTCATTTTTCACCTGTACAGAAGTTGTGGTGATTATCCTGCATCATCCTGCTGTTGTGAGAGTTACATGAGATAAACAGAAGACAATGACTGTCAAGATGGCCCCATGCTTACCTCCTTATGAAGCCAAGTTCATCTTGGGGTGCTCCTGGCCTCTCTAAATTTCTTTTTCATATTGAGATGTGGGTTAGTTTCTTTTCAGGATGGAAGGACTGGTTTGGGTCATTGTTGGAGAGATTTACCTCCAGAGTTCCTGGGCTTTGTGTGCCTGGACAGAGCATCATGGTGACAGGAGCTTGCGGTGGAGGTTGTTCTTCATGTCTTTGCAGGCAGGAAGTAGAAAACTTGAGACAGGAAATTGAGCAGTTGTAACCTCCAAGGCCTGCCTTTGGTGACTTACTTCCTCCAGCTAGGCTCTATCTACTCAAGTTTGCACTGCTTCTCAAATACCAATGTATCTGTGGACATTTCATACTGAAATCATAACCAGATGAGACCTGTTTCTGTCTTGAAGCTCCCTGTGACAGCATCTGCCTCTCCTCTCCAACCTTTCATTCCTGTCAGTGGCATTACTGTTTTTCTTTTTATGTAAGTGTCCATTTATTCATTCATTCATTCATTCATTCATCCAGTTGATATCTGTCCATTGACATTGATGCTGTGATAAATGTTAAAGGTAGAAGTAAAATTACAGAAAGTCTAACTCGCAAAGAATTAAGAATTAAATGAGATAGCAAACAACTAGATAAAATATGCAGTTCAAATTTTGGCAGGTAAATGTCCAAAACGCGGTTGGTCTCTCTCTCTCTCTCTCTCTCTCTCTCTCTCTCTCTCTCTCTCTCTCTCTCTCTCTCTCTCTCTGTATGTGTGTGTTAAACCTGTTTCTTTATCTCCTGGTGTACCCTCACACCTGCCTTCATCCCCCTTTGAGGTCTTTCCTAGTGTTCCTTTCCTTTCTGTTCTTGCTCTTGTGGAAGGTTGTAGAATATTGGAACTCAAGATGGCTGCTGGTGTGAGGAGTCAAGTGTTGTCTGGGTCACGGACACTACATATGACCATAGCTGAAGACAATTGGAAAGCTGTGATAATTTCCAATATGACAATAAACAACCCTGTATAAAGTTCAGACAGGGTAGATGTTCTTCCCCTGTATGGCAAAGCGCCTTCTACACTCCACACTCTGTGTCAGGAACACCCCAGGTCAAGCATAGTCTTTGAGTCACAGTGGCCTCCCTCTTCCTGGAGCAACACCCATTGTATTCCTCACTGCTTCAGGTTGGCTGTGATTCCTCACCTGCTTGTACTGTGGTTCTGAGGTGGGAATCACATTTTTGTATGTGTGATTCCTCTTCATCCTGGGCTACTGCAGGCTCAGGATCATAATGGGCCCTGACTTGTTGATGGACAGACAAGGATTCCAGGTGAATATGCAGCATATCTGGTGTCACCAAATCTTTGTTAGAAAGAATTTTGCCACGTTTCCTCTGGTGAGATAATTTTTCCTAAAGTCTCTGAGAGGTATGGTGAGGACAGAATTCGGGTACCTGCTCTCCCCTTTCTTCTCCACCATTTGACTCTGTCCTGTGTTGTAGTAACACACCCCAGGGATCTACCTTCTATGCAATCTAGCGAAAATGTCTATAGTTCTGGGAAAGGAATGAAATTAAGTTGAAGACACTCACTCTATTAAAGCTGTCTTCAAAGAGATGATATCTAGGGAAGAACCTTTCTGTGGCCAGAGAAGTTTGGGAGATTCTGGCAGGGAGATAAGAACTCCATGAGAAGAACCTAGAGTGGCAGAGAATTAAAAAACTGTGGCCATTTCACAGGTCTGACCCTCTGCAGTCAGAGCATAGAAGGACAAGAAGCTTCTAGGAGAGAAAAAGAGAAGCCCAAGGAAGAAGCAGTAGGGAACTGGTCCTGATAACAGGAGTGGCTACTATCAGCTTTCCAAGAAAGCTACAGGAGTTGAAGAAGTCTGGGAGATGAGGTCTTTCAGCAGCGGGCTGTGAAGTGAGTTAAGTCGAGTGTCGACCTGGCAGCATATGGCACATGTAACCACAAAAAGAACATGCGTGTTCACAAAAGCTGTGGTGACAAGAACAAGGAGGGTGGTTTGCCTAGGAGCAGGCAGGGATCATAAAATCAGCAAGGGACAGTTAGGATAAGGATTGGCTAGGGATCCATCACTGTTGGAAGTAGTCATCTTTTCTAAGGTGGTGGGGCAAGACATCCCAGCTGGTAGCGATACTGTTATTGTCAACTTCATACAACTGAGGGCCTCCTGGGAAGAGTCTCAGAAAGGTTTGTCTATATTGGGTTGGCCTATGGGCGTGTATGGTGTGTGTGTGTGTGTGTGTGTGTGTGTGTGTGTGTGTGTGTGTGTTGTGGGAATATACAGTCCAGATGAGGAAAGTGCTCTCTGGCATTTTGCTTGCTTGTCTTTTTTTCTCTCTCTGGTAAGCTCACTTACCCTGTTACTCTTTCTGCTGACTTCTTTGCTAACATTAGAACAAGCTTCTCTGGGATTTCAACCGAAGACCAACCGTTCTCTAGGAATTCCCCAGACAATCAAATCCTATTTTAACACGATTGATGATCTTACTGGCCCTATTGCTCTAGAGAATGCTGGCTGATAGACTAGCAAAGAAGAGTTGCGACCCAAAATTCAAAATCAAGGAAGCAAAGATGTTCAATCCCACTATTACACTATACCTCACTTGGATGAAGAGGCAGGATAGAAAAAGTGGATCTAGGGTTAGATAGACCAATAATTTGCTATATACAAGTTGTGCAAACTTGACAATCAGCCAACCCCTCTGAGTCTCAATTTATTTATCTTTAAAATAGACTCAAATTGTATGTGTATGATAGTATTGTTTCGAAGATGAAATGAAGTCTCTCTGTGTAGCGCTTAGCATAATGCCTGGAATAAAGTAATTTCTCATGAACTGTGAGCCATTGCGCACATTATTGAGGATTAGTTGACAAGGAGAACATTTGTTGTTATGGAATATCCTTTTCTTGGGAGGCTGAAGAAGGAGACAGGCAACACAGGAAATGGTAGTGGGCTGGCTAACTGAGAGCAAACCTTCCAAGCAGCAACAGAGCGGCATGGATATCTAGGAGCTGAACATAGTTCAGTTTAGAAGCTGTGCTAGAACCTTTGCCTTATGCCGTGGTTGAAGTATCTTTGAAAAGTGCACATGCTGGAAACTATATATGCAATTTGTAGTCAATTCTTATGTGTTAATGTTACTTGGACCTTGTATTGTGGTTGATGCTTTTTAAGACTTTATTTTATTTTCCTTGTGTGTGTGTGTGTGTGTGTGTGTGTGTCTGTGTGTCTGTGTGTGTGTGTGTGTGTGTGCCACATATGTGCAATACCCATAGAAACCAGAAGAGGGCATCAGACATCGGATGCCTTGGAGCTAGAGTTGCAGGCTGTTGTAAGTGCTGAGAACCAAACACAAGAGCAGGAAGTACTCTTAGCTGCTGAACCATCTCCCGAGCCCCCTTGATGTGTTTGAGTGGGAAATGTTTACATAGCCACATGTGTTTGGCACCTGATCTCCATCTGGGGTTGTGTTTGGGAAGTTTAGGGGGCCCTTAGGAGTTGGAGCTTTACTGGAGGAAGTGGTTGACTGGGTATGGGCATCATTCCCTGCTCATTTTCTGCTTCCTGATTGCAGATGCAATGTGATCAGCTGGCCTTCTGCTCTGGTCATCATGACTTCCCTGCCTGAAACCATATCTTCCCTTTCATGATGGAATGGTCCTCTCAAGTTATAAGATGAAATAAATCTCTCTTTCCCTAAAATGGGTATTTTTATCTCATCAATGAGAAAGTTAACTTATGTAGAGCTGGTTCTAGGGAAGTCGTTAGGATTTGATGAGGTCATGAAGGTAAAGTCCTGGTGAAAATGTTAGTGGCTTTTGTAGAAGAAGAAGAGGAGGAGAAGGAGGAGGAGGAGGAGGAAGAAGAAGAAGAGGAGGAAGAAGAAGAAGGAGGAGGAGGAGGACAAGAAGGAGGAGGAGGAGGAAGAAAAAGAAAGAGAAGAAGGAGGAGAAGGAGAGAAAGAGGAGGAGGAGAAGGAGGAGGAGGAGGAGGAGAAGAAGAAGAAGGAGAAGGAGGGGAAGGAGACCCATGATGTCTTACCACATTGCCCCCTGGCCATGCTATGATGTTTCAGATGAGTCTTCATCAGATGCCAGGCAGAGATGGCACCATGCTTGGGAGTTCAGCCTCCAGAAACATAGCAAAAGAAACCTCTATTTTGTTCTCTTTTCCAGAAAAACAGGCAGCAACAATAAAATCCCACATTTGTTCTAAAGCAATGACAGATAAAGCGAAATCTCTTCTTTTCATAACGACAACAAATAAATACAGAGAGAATATGGAGTTCTTTAAAAAATAAAATCACCAATTTGCCAACATTCTAATAAAAGTTATTAAGATACAGAATCATCAAAAGATACTAAATCTAGGGAGGGCAGGTATGCGGAGCCACGGAATTGTCAACACAATATCAAAGTTTCTCATAAAACAGTAACTGTGAAAGGAGAAATAAGGACTAGACAACAGAGACAGTAGACAGCCTCTTTTCTGTGTGACGGAAATTAACACCAATAACAAGGACTGTTCTGTGCATCTGGGCTTGGTACCCAGGGACGCATCACTTAATAGTATTCTCACCCACACCACACAATCCAAATCTACCCACAAGGAAACATCAGGAAACTCCAGTGAAGCTGATCTAGTCTTCAAACACATCAATACTACAAAAGACTGGAAAGGGCAGAGGAATTGCTTCATATCAGCGTCATGACAGTACAATCTACAATCCTGAACTGGATCCTGTCTCTGAGAAACTACCAGCAGAGCAAATGAAATCGGAATAGAGACTACAGATCAGATGAAAGTACCATCTGAATGGGAGACTGCTGGATTTATATGCTCGAGTGAGACTGTGTGCTCGCTCTTGTGAAGTGTTTGTATAGTATTAAATCATAGAGGGCTGGGTATCTGTACGATCTCTCAAATGGGCTAAATAAAAGGGTGCATATCAAGGAATAGAAAGCTATAAAGCAAACACAAGAATCGTCATCACAAAAGAAGATAACATGTGTAGCAATGATTTTTTTCTTTTATTTAATTTTCTCCCAGACAAGCATGTCCACACTGACATGTAAGTGTGTATTTCTAGAGTATGAAAACTTTCAGTACTACTCATATCCTCCATGTAAGGCAAGCAATGAAAATATTCTTTAGGGGATGGTTGTCAACATATGTATAAAGGGTTATGTCTTTCCCAAGAAGCATAGTACAACTTCCAGGGTTTTCTATATGTATGCACAAACTTCTGCACTCATGTGTAACTGTATTTTTTTTTCGATGGTGATCATCTCTCAGTTTTTGTCATCTCCGTGTTTACTTTGCTAAACTTGTGCTTGACTTTAATACAGATATCATATTTTCTCTTCATACCTTCTCTCTGGAGCAGTGACTGAAGTGTGTGCTCTCAGCTAGCAGACTCAGTGTGTGGGTCATAGCATTAACATAATATGAGGGCTTGTGATGTTTGTTTCCTGTTCTGCAGTGCAGCACCAATGAAGACCTGCACAGGAGGGCCTGAGTCTGTTCACTGGACCAACTTGTGAGAGCAAAGTACTCAGATATGTCTGTAAAATGAAAGACAAACAGGTTTAAGTCTCAGGTTGACCCAAAGTTAATCAATCCAGGTTTTAATCGGTCAGTGATATCTAATTGGGTTCAGTTGTAAATTCTTCATTGAACTTCTAGTCTTTATAAGTCATCCAGGCTCCAGTATTTTGTTACAGTCTTAAAAAAGCAATCTTCCCAAAACAAACAAATAAGCAATAGCATAACACATGAAGATACAGAGATCCCACATGTTGCAGAGTTTTCTTACTAGAATTCTTTGAAAGATAATTTTTGTGTGTACTCCTGATCCAGAACAACATAAAGCAAGAAAGAAGAGGCTGAAATTTCACCAGGCTGTTGTCCTTTAAAATTTTGTTTATTTTTGTTTGTTTTGCGTGCATACAGGTGACCAAAAACCAGAAGAGGGCATCAGGTCCACTAAAGCTAGTTACGGTCATTGTCACTCACTTGATATGGATGCTGGGGACTGAATTCCAGTCTTCTGCAAGAGAAGCAAGCGCTCTTAACTACTGAGAGATTTCTTCAGTCTCCAGACCTTATAATTTAGAGGCAAAACAACAACAACAAAAAAAACACTCTAAAGTGGTGTGTGTGTGCGTGTGTGTGTGCACGCGCGTGCGTGTGTGTGGCTCAAGCAGATATTGTGCATGTTTGTAATACTATCACTTTGGAGGTTGGGACAAGAAGTTAAGATCTTCCTCAGTGGCACAGGAAGTCTGAGGCCAATTTGTGCTACAATGAGACCTTGTATTAAAACACATGTGTGTGTGTGCATGCACATACATACATGCATACATACATACATGCATACATCTTAAAATCCTGAGTTACTTAGGCCCTGTTCTGTGTCAGCTGTCCCGTCCCTCTCTCACAGGGTGCTATCGTTACTGGGAGGTAAAGAGGATCTTTCGAGGAAACCCTTCCATAGTTGCCTTCTAAAGAGGAGCAAGAAATGGTGGGTGAGCTACTGCTTGGGCCGCCTATGAACCTGCTTTCCTTACCTACCTGGAAATGTCTCCTCCAAGAACCCTGGGACAGGATGGAAGACCTCAAGCCCCAGGCTCGTTGCTTGCCCTTAGCCCAATGTTGACTCTCACCATGTTGGTGTCCTTGAGCCCCAGTGTGAGGTGACCATGACTACTCGCTTCCTTTTTGCTCCCTTTCCTCTTTATTACCTCATAATACTCCTTTGCTGAGAACATACTATGTGCTAGGCACGAAATCAAATCTCATCTAATTCTTACAACCCAAGAAGGGAAAATGATCTTATAATTCTCTTCAGGAGCAGCGACCAAGGTATGGAGAAGCAAAATTGTTCTCCAAGGTCATATGCTAACCAGTGGTCAAGACTTAGACTTCTCTTCCTTATACCAGTAAGTTTCAATGGGGCTCAGGGATTCCCAGGTTCCCTGAATTTTTTTTTTTTTTTTTTGAGTTCTGTGAGAGCAAAGCCATCATAATGATCTAGCTGCTTTTTTTTTTCCCACTATGTTGACTCTGGGAGTGATAAGGTAAAAATCAGCATTTTACCCATGTGTGTAACACTTGGGATCCCTAGACCAGAGAGCCTCTTCTGTGACTACAGACTGTATATGCAGGAAAACTCTACTTTTATTTGAGAATGTCCTGATGAAGTCTGGGGACATCGCTCAGGAGTTAAAATGCTTGCCCTACAAGCATGGAGGCTGGAGTCCACATAAATGCCAGGTGAGCATGGCAGCCTGCTTACAGATCTGGCCTCAGAAGGTGGAGGTGGGAACCCCCAGAGCAAGCGGACTAGTGAGATTAGACACAGAAGCAAGGTCTGGTCTTGACTGCGAGATCAGCCTCAGTGATAGAAGACAGACCAAGGCTGATTCTCAATATAAACCTTCTGCATCCACATGTATGTCCACATGTGGGCATGCACCCATGTACATGAAAATGATATGTATGTATGTGTATGTGTATGTATATGTATACATGTGCATTTGCACATGTATACCACAGATATACATAAAAATGGAAAAACAAGAATTTTTCTCATGAGAGGATAAAATTACCAACTGTACTGTAAATCTCTACTCTTCAGCTCCTAGGTGGACTCTTCCTGTCTGTCTAATGGCCTGTTCAACAAAATGAGAGGTATGTACACTGATTTATGTTAAATATGTTGGTCTTGAGACAAAGCACACATGGGAATGTTTGAGTCATGAGTTAAGCCAACCCTTTCCTTCATAAAATACCCTTTATTTGAAAAAGTGACTGGCAGACAAATGATGATCGTCTGGACTACGGTATACGGAAAACATTTTCTTGCAGATGAACAGAGCGAGGCTGTCGCTTCGAGGGAAGCAATCGGCAGCATTTGTTGTCGTTGCGAACCTTCGCGTTTTCAAGCCTATTAGGATTTGGGACATTTGTATGCATACTGTATCCGTCATGGTCTAGCCAGGAGAGAGAAACCACCTAGCAATTTGAATAGGGAAGATTTTTATAGAAGGAACGACTATTTCCAAAAATGAAAGAGAATAAAGAACACCTTAAGATTAAGGCAAACTATCCAAGGGAGGGGGATTGGAGAGCGGCTCCCTCCATGTGGCTCAGGCCGTGCAGTCCATGGAGTGGATTGCATCTCAGCCTGCTGTATAACAGAGGGTTACCTTTGGCCAAAGCCTGTCCACATACAGTGGGCCTAAACTGGCTGGAGGTAGATTGTATGGCATCTGTGGAAGCTCTAGCAATGGGGCATGCTGCCCATCCTGGAAAAGAAGCTGTGGCACCCTCAGAGACCCCAAGAAGCCCCTGCCTGTGGTTCTTTGGGCTGTCCCCAGGGCAATGCTGCGGTGAGGTTGTGGGGCATTTCCTGAGAAAGCCTTCTTATGGGAAACAGTTAGCAGTGGGGTGTCCAGCTAGTATGAGCTCAACACTTTGTGTAACGTAGTGGAGAGACAAACAAGATCACTGCAGTCGAGAAGAAAACCCTTCTTTTCCTCAGTGTCCTTCCAAGACTGCCTCTAGGTGAAACTGCTACCTGACATGGAAGAAGTATCTCTGGACCATGAGCAGGAATGCAGGCCAAAACCGAGGGCAGCAACCATTTGCTATAGGATTCAGACCTTTGCTTTGCTCACTCTGCCTCTAAATTAACTCTCCCTCTCCCTCTCCCTCTCCCTCTCCCTCTCCCTCTCCCTCTCCCTCTCCCTCTCCCTCTCCCTCTCCCTCTCCCTCTCCCTCTCCCTCTCCCTCTCCCTCTCCCTCTCCCTCTC